CCCCCCGCGGCCCCCCCCCCCCCGGCCACCCCTCCCAAAGAAACCACGCCGGCCAGGGGACATGCGGCCTGTCCCTGAGCAGGACATGCCACGTGTCCCCGAGCCAAGCGGGACGTGCCGCCTGTCCCCAGCTGGGGTGTGCCACGTGCCCCCGAGCGGGTCGCGCCACGTGCCCAGCAGCGGGATGTGCCGCAGCGGGAGTTGCCACATGTCCCCAGAAGGGACGTGCCCAGTCCCTCTGGACGCTGGCACGGGGGCTGCCAGCCGCTGCGGCAGGGGAAGCTGCTCCCCGGGTGCTGCTGAGGTTCCGGCTGGGGTCATCCAGTGTTTGGGGGGCCAAAACGCTGGGTGCTGAGGAGGCGGATGGAGCGGCTGCTCAGCCCCAGCACCCCACAGCACCCCACTGCACCCCACCACCCCAGCCGGGAGAGGTGCCGTGGGGCTGGGGGGGCCCAGCGCAGGGTGCCCGTCCATGACACCCGGGGGTGCTGTGGAGCAGGGGGTGCCATACCCAGCCCCCATGTCCCCCACTGCTCCCAGCAGTGCCGAGGGCCCCTGCCTGGGCGGGCAGCCCTGGGGACCCTCACCCCCCGGGGCACACTGCTCAGAGCCACCTCATCAACCAGGGCCGGGGGAGCCCCCTCGGCACGGCCACCCCGGGGGGGCTGGGGAGGGCGACAGGCGCTAATTAGTGCTGGGGTTAATTAATGGTCATTCTGCTTGTAGCTTTTTCAGTGTGTGTTTGGTTACTGTCTCTGGGAACTGTGTTTGAACAGATGGCTCTGTGTTACCGGGAGTGTGTGTACCTCTGTAGTCTAGTTAGGTGCTCTGCCAGAAAACCACCACTATACATACCTATAAATATATACATATATAGTCTATTTTAAGTTAAAAAACAATGAGACGAAGGGGCGGCACGGCCCCGGGCCCCCCTGTCCCGCCGGGGTCGCCTCCTGCCCCGTCCCCACCTGAAAGCTTCTCTCTGCTCATTCAAAGGCATTGGGGTTTTAATTGATTTTCTTTAATTTATTTTTAATTTCTTTGGGTTTTAATTTTTTTTTTGTACAGAAGAGTTGGAAAACTTCAAAAACCAACAAAAAGACAATTTGTAAGATATCGTGCGTGTGACTCCTTGTAAAATATTTTCAAATGGTTTATTACAGAGACTCAGTTATTAAATAATGTTCATATTTTCACTTCACAGGCGGTGGCTGCGTCATTGCCCGGGTATGTGGGCAGGGCCGGGGGGCACAGTGCCGGGGGGACGGGCAGGACATCGGGGCGCTCTGGCCGGGCCGCTGCCTTCACGCCTGCCTGCACCCTGTGCTGTGAGGCCGATGGGCAGGGGTGCGGGCAGGAGGCAGGCAGGATGCGGGCAGGGACACGGGCACAGGCATGGGCAGGGACACACAGGCAGGGGCGCGGGCAGGGATAGAGGCAGGGGTGCAGGCAGGGGCGCAGGCAGAGCTGCGGGTTCCCAGACACCCACGCGCTGCACAGGAGGGGCCGTGGGGCAGCGGGGGCTCAGCCCCCCCAT